TATATGTTAGAAGTAGAGATGAATAAGATTATTATGGGTATAAAATATGTCATTATTTTAAACACAACAATATTACATTGCAAAATAAGCCACAAATTTATTATTTTGAATCAGCAAAATGTCAGTTTGTGACTTGTGAATAGAACTTGGGGATTAGTGGCATTTGCAAATCAATTAGTCGACGTCCCCCATTAATCAGTTACATTTGATTCATTTATTACTATAGTGTTGCTCAAACCATGATACATACAAACAGAAGAAAAAAAAGTTGGCTGTGAGTGCTGTTGCTTTCCATCTCATCAGCAGTTGTGATAGTGACAGATAGCCTTAACAGCTTTTTCATAACAAAAATAAGAAAAGCAAGCTTAGTGACAATGGGAATAAAGTCGGAAATCCCATCAAATCATGAGTCCCCTCCCCAAATCACCATAGCTGAATAAACTTGAAATAAAATAACTTATAAGGCTTAAATTGGGCAAAGCCCAGATACTTACTTTATGTTGCTTTGGGCTTGGCAACAAACAAGCATTAACTTTTTCCATATGGGGTCGGTCAATGTGACTGTCCTTGTAATCACAAAGTAACCACCGGAGTTTCCATACTATAAACTTTTAATATGTTTTGTGTATCTTCATAAAATTTTACAAGATATCAGTACAAATTACAAGTCTCCTGTACACAAAAATAAGATTTCTTTAATTAAGTTTTTTACTAGAGATTTGTCCTTAAATATATGGAGTTGAGAGTGTTGACTTTCACAGCAACTAGTGCATGCTAACGATCACATGATATCAACAACCTCTTAATAGTATTGCCTGAACTAACTGCCTTTTGTCCCATCTGAGTCTACACATGCGCACTGATTGGTTGAGTTGAGAGAAAGAAGAAAAACAAAATAGTGTGAAATTAGTAATGTGTTGTGCAACTGCAGTGCTTCATTCCTAAAAAAAACATGAAGACTATCCGCCATTAAAATCCTAGAAACAAAGTTCGATTTTGGACTCAAAGAATGTGAAAATATTTCTGGACTTCCAAGAATCCAGAACAGTTCTAGATTCAAGTTCTATTTAGCACAGCCCTATTGGTGCCACAATGAAATTTTAAGTCACCATGGTGACCAGAATTTCTCGAGGCTTGCTATATATCATACCAAAAAGTATGTAATATTCAAATATATTAGAAACAATGTTTTTTTCTTTATTTTTAATTAATTCAATATATATATATGTGACAAAACTAAGCGTGATTAACTTTTCTGTCACTAGAGTAGGTCTAATATAATCCCTAATCATCTTGTTAATTTTCTGTGCATTTTTGATATTGTAAACACAAAGTTATCTATTTTATTTAATGTCTTTTGGTGGTTTAACTTCTGTATGTTTTCTCCTAAAGAAACGTATTCACTTAAATCTAAGGACGTTCAATGTTTCGATTTTAGTTTCTCCTTTCTCAAAGTGATAACCCTATAACCAGAGTGCTTTTGAAAGGTGAACATTTCTTCTTCAGGGGCAAACATTTTCAAAGTATTACACAGAGATGCTGTGTATGCCATAAATATTACTAATATTAAGCTGTACAAATAATTATCTTTATGGTTCACTTACACTGTTTGGGTTTAGCACTTTTATATCTGTTGGATGTTTTTCGCAATATTGTAGCTTGAAAAATTATTATCATATTAGTTCTTAATGTATTGATCATAAGTTTTCTCAGGAGCATATGTACAATTGTGTATCAATCATAACACAAAGTTTTCATTAATTTTTATTTTGCTATAAGCTATAGGCAACTTGAATGTCTGTACTCTAAACATACAGTGAAACCCTGATTTTACAAGCCCCGATTTAACACAAATTCGAATATAACGTGATGGGTCATTAGATCCTAAAGCTTTTCTTTTGCTTGACAACTGTCCCACTTATCTGCCAGCTACTAACCTAGTAAGCCATGACGGTAAGATCTGAGTTCCCTATAACCCCAAGAACACTACATCCAAGATCCAGCCTCTAGATCAAGGGATCATCTCTGTGTTCAAGCAGAATTACAGGTGGGAATTACTTCATAGAATTGTAGACAAATCAAAAACGTTTGAAGGCTATCTGTAAAGCCTGAACATGAAGGAAGTTTGCCACTTAGGTGGGAAGGCCTGGGCAGCAGTCAGCTTGTTGTGTGTAGAGGAATGCTGGGAGAAGGGTCTGGGGCTAGCCTTTTCATGACGGCAATCCATCACGGAAGATGATAATGACGAGACAGATTTGTATGGCTTCGCAGAGGAAGATGTGTGTGAGGCAAAGAAGCTGTCTGAATGGAGCAAAGAAGAACTACACCAGTGGCACCCTATTGACAGCGAATGTCCAACATATGAGCACTTGACGGACACCGAGATCGTCCGTAACGTAACTATAGCACTGACAGAGGCAAGTGTACCGGTTCTCAAGCAACAAGAAGAGGATAATGAAGAGCCTCCATCACCACCACAAAAAGTGTCTGAAGCCATTGAACACCTCGAGGCTAACCTCCATTGGCTGGAGACTCAGGAGGTGGACCACATAAAAATCCTCCAACTCAGAAGCATTCTAGATTTTGCTCGCAGCCAGAGACATTCTATGTTCAAGCAAGGAACACACAATCAGTTCTTTAAGAAATAAACTGCAAATGGTGATTGCTAATATTCTTAAATGTTTTTATTTGTTGTTTTGTTTATTATAAAGTCTACTAAAAATAATTTGTGTTTTAATTCTTACTGTAACAACAATGATTATTTCACAAAATTCTTTAATTCAGAGGTAATTTACTTGCCAGAAAGGGAACGTGTAAAAAACTAGTCAAAGAGGGTGAAAATAGAGATGTTAGTTCAATATTGGGTCAGTTTGAATAGTAATTTTCTTGAACCCCGATTTAGGGCGACCCCGCTTGTTTCACGATGACATTTTATGGACCTCAACGATCGCATTATAATGGGGCTACACTGTACTTTTCAAATTGTAATAAAATATGTTTTGTTGCTTTTATTTATTTTTTGTAATGGTTTAATCTGTTTTTTACAAATAGTTTGGTAGTTTTATTGGTAAACACTATCCTATGTTAAATGAGCATGTTTTGGCTAAAATAATTAAGGCCCCAGAAAATTGTAATATGGCTTACAAGATGGAGGCTTTCCAGTGGCTCAGTAGTAAGTCTCGGGCTTACAACAATAAAAATCAGGTTGCGATACCCGTGGTTGGCAGTGCATATATGACCCATAGTGTAGTTTTGTGTTTAACAACAACCAAACAAAATCAAAATACAAGATGGGGGGAGTCTTTAATTATCTATTAGAGGGCTCAAAGCTATTGTGAGGTTAAATATGCTACTCATCTCGATGAACCCTATGCTAGATTTTATATAGAGAAACATGTCTCAGTACAAAGATATGTTAAATATCTGTTAGGCATCACAAAGACGTACAGAAACCCTGCATTTATAAGTATGTAATACAGACAGCTCATTTCTCCAATGTATGTTGATTTGTAATTGAGTTTAAAAAGATATATATTTAATAATGAACTTTTTATCAACCAAAATTAATATAGCATAACATAGTTTTTTTTCTGTTGTTGTTCTCATCTGTTCAAATAAAAATAATAGTCTGGTGTAAAGTTTTGTAGATCCTAATGTTAAAGTGGTATTTAAAGACTGATAGGCAACTTTTAAGTTTTCAGTAACACTACCTTTTAAAATTAAGGTGAAACTTAACCTGAAGCTTGTTTTTATCTCTCTCATTATTTTTGACTTATTTTTTGATGCAACTTGTGACTTTCATCAAACACATTAGGCTAGGCAATTTTCAAAAGGTCACTTTCGTATTTATTGACAAATATAAATATGTACACATAGAGCCTCTGATACATGTAATATTTTGTCAAAAAGTAGATTCATTTTTCTTACAGTTTGCAATATATATACAAACTTGTTAGCTCAGAAATATATTCCATTCACCAAAAGGTTTTTAATTTAATTTGTATTATGCTTAACTTACAGAAAGTATTTGATTATAAAGTTTTTTTAATCTGCTTTTATGCATTGGCAATTTTTTTTTTGCAAATATTTGTCAAAAATTGGCTTTTCATTTTGATCATGTGTAAATGCAAGAAATCAGATCAATTTTTTTTATTAGATTAAAAGTTGTTTGAACTTGTACTATAATTCTAATCTCTCTTATAAGCTGTAGTTTAGATTGCAAATATTTTTAGTTCTTTTTTATTTGTATGAGGTTCAGACTAAACACTGGCACTATCCAGTAATCATAACCTGTCTACAAAGTGGCTTAATTAATAGTACCAAGACATTAGTGTTTATATGTATATTTGAATCTGTATATAAAATTACTATGATAACATAAACATGTAAATAGTAATTGATATTTAAACAATTGCCATCAACCATTCAGATTAAATTGTGCTGGGAGTGAGGTAATGTAATTGTACATGTATATCAATAATTTAATTAATACTTGAATTTGGATTTTAATTAGGTTATATAAGTTGAATTAAACACATTACTTTCACCTGAACCACTGAAAATGGGGGGGGGGGGTTGCTAAGCATATATTGTTAATATATCCAACACTTAAGCATGGAGGATAATAATAAATGTGCTCAGTAAAGACAATTAAACAGTTTTAACCAGCAGTCACCTACTAAATGAAAAATGTGTTCAAAGTCACTCCTCAGTGATGGTTTATAACCACTGTAGTTGACAAGAACTTGGAATTGTGAAAATATTTATTTGCATAATTTGGTTTTTGTTATTACTAGACTGCTCCTGCAGTAGACAGTATAGATACATAATTATATATGTTACACCAGAAATGAGTTAATACAAGTATTGATAAAAAGCTATTGGCTGTAAATGCTTTATAATTAGTTTGTCTTTTTGAATCTTTCAAAATTTAAAAGAAATACCTCTTGTATTTTTGTTTTTACTAGTTTCGTATGTTTATATTTTTTATATGTTTGAAGCTCATTTCCTGTCATAATGGTGACTGAACCATCATCAGGCTGTCGGGGTATGCAGTATGAAGTCAAGAAACCCAGGAAGAAGGAACCACGTTTACCAAAGAAAACATATTTAAAAGCTGGACTATATTCGAACTATTTTAAACAAGACATGTACGTATTTTTCCAGTAATTTTTTTTTCTTATTTAATTTTTTATTCAATTGGACTAAGCAAAACTACTGTCAAAATGTGTGCATAAATATTGTTTGAGCATTTTTCATTTTTAAGAAAGGCTTGAAAAGAACTAAAGACCCAGCTCATTTGTCATTGTGTTTTTTAAATTGTAATAATTACATTAAAAAACACTGCCAGTGGCTCACTGTTACCATAAATATTGCAACATGAACATAAGAGAACAATACTACTTTTGAATACATGAATACTTTTTGAACAATACTACTAAAATTTTAAAATAAGTGAAAATATAAGCAAAATCAAAATTACTGAAATTACAAGCTTTAGAAAATTTTATGAAATCGAAATTGCTGATTTAGTTGTAGGCCTTAAATACACATACAAAAAAAAACAGTTTGAGTTGCATGGAGTGCTTCATAGATTGTATCTAAAGTAGAAAAACTAATGGTTTAGTTTCACTCTGGATGACACACAAGACTTTGTTACTTGTTTTACTAATTAAAAACAAACACCAAATATGAAACAGTATTTCCATACTTTAGAAATAACTATTATAAAACCAGTAATACATTATACATATTTTGTTAGATAGTAAGAGAATAAAAAGTATATCTAGACCTTTGCTAACCCTTTCGAGATGGGTCATGGGTGAAAGGCCATGTCATCTC